GGATTTCATTGTTAATGACTGAGTAGTAATCCATTGTGTATACATAACCCATTTTTTCATTGATTCATCAGTTGATGGACATCTGGGTTGATTCCATATCTTAGCTATTGTGAACTGAACTGTTAGCAACATGGGGGTATAGGTAATTCTTTCAAATGGTGATTTCATTTCTTTGGGGTATATTTCCAAGAGTGGAATGGCTGGACCACATGTGGGTCTTTTTTCATATTTCTGAGGATTCTCTATAGTCTTCCACAATGACTGTACTAGTTTAAATTCCTACCAACAGCACATTAAGGTACATTTTTATCCACATCCTCACCAGAGGTTATTTTTTTGATTTTCGGTGATAGCCATTCTAACTCATTTGAGGTGAAACTTCATTGTGGTTTTTATTTGCATTTTCCTTATGGCTACTGAGGATTTTTTTTCCAAGTGTTTATTGGCCATTTGAATTTCCATACGTTGAAAGATGCATGTCCATTGCCCATTTCTTACTGGTCGAAGATTAGTAGGTTGTTGATACATGGATTAATTTCTGAGGTTTCTATTACATTTCATTGGTCCACGTCTATTTTTTTGTGTCAATATTGGGCTGTTTTAACTGCTTTGTAATATGTTGTGAAATCTAGTACTGTGATGCCTCCAGCTTTATTGTTTAAGTATCCTTTAGCTATTTGGGGCCTCTTGTGTTTCCATGCGAATTTTTGGATCATTTTTTTTTTCTAAATCTGAGAACATCCTTGGTTTTTGGACTGGCATCACATTGAATTTGTACATTGCTTTAGGTAGTATGCATATTTTGATACTAATTTTTCCAATCCACAAATATAGAAGATTTTTCCTATGTGTGTGTGTGGGGGGGTCTCTGCCTGTGTCTTCTTCTCTTTCCTTAATGTTTTATAATTTCCATTGCTGAGAAATTCATATATTTGGTTACATTTATCTCAGGGTATTTAAATTCTTTTAGGTATTGTGAATGGGGCTAATCTGCAAATTCTTTCTCAGCAATGACTTGTCTGTGTATACAAAGGCTATTGAATTTTGTGTTGACATTATATTTTTTACACTTCACCAAATTCTTAGGAATTCCAATAGTTTCTTAGTGGAGTCTTTTGGTTTCCCTATATAAAGGATCATGTCATCTTCAAATAAAGATAGTATGATTTCCTAATTTGCAATTTGTTGTCCCCCCCCATCCCATTTTCTTCCCCTTGCATAATGGCTGTAGGTAATACTTTCAGAATTAGATTAAAAAGTAACGGTGAAAGTTTGCATCCATGTCTGCTTCAAGATTTTCATGGAAACACTACCATCTTTTGCAATTCAATGTGATACTGGTTGTGGATTTGACATATATTGCCTTGACTGTGTTGAGGAATGTTTCTTCGACACCCAATTGCTTAAACATTTTTTTAATCATGAAAAGATGTAGTATTTTCTCAAATGTATTCTCTGCCATCTATTGAGATAATCGATAATATTATGGTTTCATTTTTCAGTGTGTTAATGCAATTTATGTTTATTGATTTGCATATATTGACCCATACCAGAACCTCTCGGATAAATCCCACTTGGTTTGGGTTGACAATCTTTTTGATGTTGTTTGATTCAATTAGCTAGAACTATGTGAGGATTTTTCTATTTTCATCAAAGATATTGGTCTATAGTTCTCCTTGCTCTTTCTCTGCTTTTGGAATTTAGGTGATGTTGGCCTCATAGAGGGCTCTGAATAGTTGGGAGGATTGGGATTAGTTCTTTAAGTTTGGTGGAATTCAGAAAAGTCATCTATTCTTTGGGTTTTTTGTTGGGTGGGTCTGTATTACTCTCTCAATCTCCATTTGGGTTATTGATCTACTTAGGTTTTATCTTTGTGCCTCAATTTTGGAAAATTATGTTTCCAGAAATCTATCCATTTCTAGATTTGTAAATTTGTTGGCATATGCCTGTTTGTAATTCATGATTATCATTTTAATTTCTGTGTTATCAGCTTTAACATCTTTTTCACCCCTGATTTTATTTATTTATTTACTTATTTTTTTTGGACAGGCAGAGTTAGACAGAGAGAGCGAGAGAGACAGAGAGAAAGGTCTTCCATTGGTTCACCCCCAAAATGGCTGCCACGGCCGGCATGCTGCGCCGATCCGAAGCCAGGAGCCAGGTGCTTCCTCCTGGTCTCCCATGTGGGTGCAGGGCCCAAGGACTTGGGCCATCCTCCACTGCCTTCCCAGGCCACAGAAGAGAGCTGGACTGGAAAAGGAGCAACTGGGACAGAATGCAGCACCCCAACCGGGACTAGAACCCAGGGTACCAGCACTGCAGGCAGAGGAATAGACTAGTAAGCTGTGGTGCTGGCCTAACCCCCTGATTTTATTAAATGGGGTCTTTTTGTTTTGGTTAGTTGGGCCAATGGTGTTATCAATTTTCTTTTTTCAAAAAACCAGCTCTTCATTCCACTGATCTTCAATGTTTTTATTTCACTTTCATTTCTTTTCTCCTATTAATTTTAGGCTTGTTCTTGTTTTTCTAGGTCCTTGAGATCCACTGTTAGGTCATTTGACACCTTTCCAATTTGTTGATGTATGCACTAATTGCTGTATATTTTACTGTAACACCACTTTTGCTGTATTCCTTGGGTTTTGGTATGTTGTGATTTTCATTTTGTTTCAAGGGATTTTTTGATTTCTCTTTTGTTTTCTTCTATGACTCACTGTTTATGCAGGAATCTGTTCAGTTTCCATGGGTTTGTATAGTTTTTAGAGCTTCTTAGGTTTTTAATTTTTAGCTTCATTCCATTTTGGTTAGAAAAGATACAAGGTAAGTTTTCATTTTTTTTTTAAAATTTGTTGATCCCTGTTTTATGCTCTAGCATATAGTCTTCCATAGAGAATGTTCCGTGCATTGATGAAAACATGTACTCTGAGGCTATGGGATGAAATGTTCCTTAGATATTGATTAGAGCCATTTGCTCAATAGTGTAGGTTAGCTCTTGTTTCTTTGTTGATTTTTTATGTAGTTGACCTGTTCATTGATACAAAGTGAAACACTGAATTCTGCCATTATTATTGTATTGGAACATATGTTTTGCTTTAGAATCATTAATATTTGTTTTAAATAGATGGGCGTTGGTGCTGGCATTGTGGAGCAATAGGTGAAGTTGCTGCCTGCAATGCCAGTTTCCCACATGGGCACCAGCTCATGTCTGCCCGCTTCTCTTCTGAGACAGCACCCTGCTAATAGCCTGGGAAAAGCAGCAGAATATGGCGCAATTGCAACCTTATGGGAGACCCAGAAGAAGCTCCTGGCTCCTGGCTTCCGCCTAGCTCATCTCTGGCCATTGTAGTCACTTGGGGATTTAACCTGTGGATGAATGACCCCTCTCTCTGTCTTTCCCTTTCTCTGTTAACTCTTGACTTCCTTAAAGAAATAGATGGAGGTCCCAGCATTGGGTACATACACATTTACTACAGTCATATATTCCTGTTGATTTATCCATTAATCACTACATAATGACCTTTTTTTGTCTCTTTTAACAGTTTTTGTCTTAAAGCCCATTTGTGATTCTATGTACTTCCTCTACTGGGAAGCATAAATAGACATGATCATAGATCTTCACCATGACACCTTATATTCACACTTTCAAAAGTAAAACAGAAAGACCCTAAGATGTTCAAGAGAGAAATGCCAGAAAGGTCATCAATCAGACTGACAGCAGATTTCTCATCAGAAATCCTATAGGTTAGAAAAAAATGGAGCTATAGTCTAAGTTCTTAAAGAAAAAAACTGTCAACCCAGAATATTAGCAAAGCTCTCATTTATAAATGAAGGTGAAACAAAGACCTTCGAAGAGAAATAAAAACTGAAAGCAATTTGGCATCACCCAGCCAGCCTTCAAATAATACTTGAAGATTCACTACACATAGAAACAGAGAAAGATAATCAGCATTGCAAAAGAATAGAAAGGCACAAAACCTCCTCCTAGTAAATTACAAAGGAGATACAAAAAAACCAAAAAGATATTTATGGAAAAATGGCAGGATCAAGTAATTACTTATTAATAATATCCTTGAATGTAAATGGGCTAAATTCTCCAATTAAAAGATACAGACTAGCTAAATGGATCAAAATACAAGACCCATTTATATGCTGCCAAGAAACACACTTTACCAACAAAGACAAAGACAGTCTATGCAAATGAAAATTAAAAAATGAGTAGGAGTAGCTATCTTAATATCAGACATAATACTTTAAGACAAAAGGTTTTTTTAAAAAATATTTATTTGAAAAGCAGAGTGACACAGAGAAAAGGAGACAGGGATCTTTGTATTTCCTAGTTCACTCTCTAAAAGGATGTTACAGCCAGGGTAAAGTCAGGAGCCAGGAACTCCATATGGTTCACACCCATGGGTAACAGGGGCCCAGACACTTAGGACACCTTCTGCTGCAGCTTAATAGGAAGCTGGACTGGAAGTGGAGTAGTGGTATTGAACTGACACTGAAACCTGGATGCCAGTGTCTTAAGTGGCAGTTTAATCCCTGCTGGGCCATGATGCCGACTCCTACTTTACTGTTTTTGTGTTCTTTCTAATGCAATTTTTAAAGAAGTATTATCAAGGAACTAGAAAATTCAAAATGCTAACTGTTTGGATGTAGAAATTTCAATACTTTAACGTAAAACAGAGGGTATTTGTTTTCTACTAGCAATGGGTCTTTGGGCCAGATGATTTGAATTTAAAATCTTTCAAATTTTAGGCATCTCATGTTATTACGCAACATCCTCAGTGGGGTCTGTAGAATACAATATAATCAATTCATCTCTAAATTCCATCAAGAGAAGTAAGTTCAAATTTCAGCTCTGCTGTATCACCAATGAAGAAAATACCTATTTCATAGGGTCAGCGTGTGATTCAAAATAAAGTGATTGTATGACCTATGAATATCCCTGCAACAGCGAAACTCAATGCAAATGTGGTTTCACATTATCAGTTTTTAAAAGTCTGTTAAGTATTAACATTTTATTTTAGGAACAGAAATAACTTTAAAATAAATGTTTTTTAGAATGTCAGTATACATTAAAAAAACCACAAAGTTTAAGAACTCTCCTCCATCTCCAGGAACTAAAAGGTAGCAATCCAGCTATAGTCTACCTTCCTGAGTTTTCTCAGTTCTTTTTCTTCAGATTTTGACAACTGATGGAAAATGTCTTCTCCCAAATCTGTGTGCTTTGTGTCTTGGACCTTTTCAGTAAAAGCATTTTCTTCATCAGAGTTGTCACTTTCTTTTTCTTCTTGCATATCTACATCATCTGGAATTTCTTCAGCACTTTAACAAACAGAATAAATATCAAATCACTATTAGTAATTATTTCTAAACAATAACTTTCTAATTTAAGACATCTATATTAAAATATGACCTTTAAATCTTGCTATCAGTGTCCTTTAAAAATTACAAGTTCTCATAAAAAGTTACAAATTAATTTAATTAAAAAACTACAAGTTACTATAAAGTATAATTTTTAATTAGATACCAAATCTTTAAAACACACACATAAGTTCTCTTTTCTGAAACTGACTTTTAATGCATTTGACTTAATACTCATATTTTTTCACTACAATTAGAACGTTGGATAAAGAGAAATACCATAGAAGAATATTCTAATCAAAAGTATCATGAACTATCCTGTTACCTTGAATAGAATATCTAAACGCACTTAAAGATCTGCTTTACCTCTTTGTCTCTTTAGACAGCAACAAAGAATTTATGAACAGGGAGCACAGGAAAGAAGCAGATGGCAACACATGGGCTGGCGTGTGAAGAAGCTGGAGTGAAAACAGAAACACAGGGTTTCATTTATGAAGTTTATCTTTGGGCATACTCGGTTCCTTCAACATCCTAAGTACTTATTATTGTAAATACCATGAGTCAAACGCAAAAGTCTTCCACTACTCCCAGAAAAAAGAAGCCAAAGAAAAAGGACTTTCATCCTCTTATATTTATGTAAACCATCCCATTCGCTTCCCACAAATTAATTCCAAATTAATCCTAAATCATAGCAAATTAATGCCAAATTATCAAGTCATGTTAACTTCGGCTTAGGTATTCATGTGATACAGCAAAATGGTATTCAAAAACAATCTTACAGATTGAATGTATAAAACCCCCCAACTTAGCAATCTGTTTTACATGAGTTATTTTAATACTACTTACCTCATTAACTGCGGGTATGTTTTCTGTTAAGGGTAGTTGCACCAGTTCATTCTCTGAATTTTCATGGAATTTTTCATCCTGTTGTTGCCTGTGCTTTCCCAGTATGAAATAAAATGGGGTTGTTGGAAGACTTTCTTCTGCTAGCAGCTATAAAGATTTGAGACCAAAGGAAAATCATTTCAGTGAAAAGGAGGAATTGTCTCTGATGTAAAACAAGTATTGTAAAATAATAAAATATCTGGAATGGAAGGAACTTTAAAGCCCAGTATTGCACTTCTGTAGGAGAAGCTAACAGTGGACACTTCCATGAAAGAAAACAATATGGATTTACCAGTTTCTTCACCAAATCCTATACATCTGTCAGCAAAGGGTTTTATGCAAAAGGTCATAAACCCACATGTTGAAAAGCTGGGGAGATGGCCACAGTATCAACATGCTGGAAACTGTAAAGCAGGTTGCAGGATGTGAACTGACAGGAGATCTGAAAAAGCAGAATTCTAAGCTGGCTGTTCATATTTGAGAATCCCACAAAGATCAGGAGTCAGTAATTACAGGACCTCAGCAAGTGTGGAAGGGGGCTAAGAAATACAGATGGGCTGGTTGAAGGTCTGCTTAGAAAGCACTCAGATTCCTGCATCTCCTCCTCAGTGCTAGCAGGGGGCTCTCAGCCTATTCCTGGAGTACAGAATCAAAGTTTTAGACTTGGGGTGGTGGTGTCCTTTTCATGACTAAAGGTAGTTACATTTCATATAGGGGGTTAATCAGCATCCAAATCCTTGAGGCAAGAACTTTGAAATATTTCATCTGGGCAGTTTGAGCAGATTGACAGTGGACCTAAACATAATGACAATGAAGATTTTTGTAATAAAACAGAGCCCAATTGTGGAAGCCAAAAGATAGGCTCCACTTTTAAATAAGAGCAGAGAATCAAAAGTCACCGGACTGATGAAAACCTACACAACGAAAGAGAATGACCAGAGCAGACTGAAAATAAACACAAACTTGGGGCTGGTATCATGGCACGGTGGGTTAAGCCTCTGCCTAAGGTGCTAACATCCCATATGAGCACTGGTTTGAGTCCTGGCTGCTCTACCTCCAATCCAGTTGCCTACTCATGCATCAGAGAAAGAAGCAATCATTTGGGGAGTGAACCAGCAGGTGGGGAGACCTCTCTGTCTCTACCTTTTAAAAAACTAGTCAAAATAAAGTAAAAAAAAAAAAAAAAAAGTGAAAATGAACAACAGACCATGCAAGAGGGAGGGGGTTAAAAAAGATCTGATAATAAAATCTCATAGAAAACAGAAAAGGGAAACAGACACACAGTCACACAGACAAACACACACAGTATCAGAGCAGTACTCTGGAAGGTCTACCACAAAACAGAAGTTCCAGAAACACAATGGAGAAAAGTAATTTTATTGTTATTCAGCACATTCCAGTGGGCTCTATAATTCAAAGGGAAAAAAAAATCAAAGTCTTCAGCAAGGCCTACCTTGACTTTGCTATTTAAAACTGCAAGCTGCACCCCACTGACCAACTCCCACCCCTTCCTTTATTTTTCCTTCCCACCAATAAATCTTGTCATCTTCTGACATTTTATTTACTTAGTGATTCTTGTTCACTCCATCTTCTGGTAGACTGTGAATACTACAGATTTAGGGACTTCACTATTTTCCTTGCTTCCCAAGTGCCTAGACTAGTCACTAGCATTTAATATAATCAATAAAAATTGGTGAGTAAATTTAGTGAGTGTTTTTTAGGAAAAAAGAAAAAAGCCAATTTATAGAAAAAGGATGGGCTTGGGGTGGGGAGTGTTGTGGTGTACCAGGTTAAGCAATTACTTGGAATACCCAATTCCCCTAGACTGGTTCAAGTCCTGGCTGCTTCAGTTTGGATTTAGCTACCTGCTAATGTACCTAGGAAGGTAACAGATGATGACCTCCATGGCTGGGTTCCAGCAACCTACACAGGAAGCCAGGGTAGAGCTCCTGGATTCTGGTTTGGCCTGACCTATCTCCAGCTGTTGCTGCTGTTTGGGGAGTGGCCAGAAGATCTCTCTCTGTGTCACTCTGCCTTTCAAACAAATAAACAAACAGAAAAATCTTAAAAAGAAAATAAAGAATGGGCTTAGATATTAGCAACACTGGAAGCTATAAAAAAGACACCATCTGAGAAAATGAGGTTGAATTTACAACTTTATAACCAACCAGGCAACCAAGAAGGAGAGAATAAAAACATTTCCAAACATGCATCAGAATGCACATCACCAAAGGAAGAGAATGACAAAAAAAAAAAAAAGGCAGCTGTGGATCTAACAAAAGAAAGAAACAATTTCCCAGACTGATGGTGGATGTGGATCCTAAGATGACTACTGCATGATAGATACAGGTACAGGAGCAGCTGTTCCAGAATGAAGCAAGTCAGAAGGGTTCTTGGGAACATTTCTTCACAACCTGAATAAATAGCTAATATGTCTGAAAATACTGTCAGAAGGCTTACATAATACGGGTAAGGGGTGGGCATTTAGCACAATGGTTAAGATGCCAATGTGGGAGATCCGGATTTAGTTCTCTGCTCCCAGCTTTGACCTGGCCTAGCCCTGCCTGCTGCAGGCATTTGTGAATGAGCAAGGGGAGGTCTCTCTCTCTCTGTCCTTAAAAAAAAAAAAAAAAAAGAAAAGAAAAGAAAAGAAAAGACAGACAACTTGGTAGAGGTTGAATTGAGTGAGAAGTAAACAGAAAACTAAGCAAATGGAAAAATGCAGGGGGCTGGCGCTGTGGCATAGTGTGTAAGGCTGCTGCCTGCAGCACAGGCATCCCATACGGGCACTGGTTTGAGCCCCAGTTAATCCACTTCCTATCCAGCTCCCTGCTAATGTGCCTGGGCAATCAACAGAAAATGTCCCAAGTCCTAGGGCTCCCACACCCACATGGGAGACCTGAAAGAAGCTCCTGGCTTCAGATCGGCCTCGCTCAGGCTATTGTGGTCATTTGGGGAGTGAACTAGCAGATGGAAGCTCTCTTTCTCTCTGCTTCTGCCTCTCTGCAACTCTGCCTTTCAAATAAATAAATCTTAAAAAAAAAAAATAAAATAAAGAAAGAAACAAGCAGCAACCGTTAATTCTAGAGAAAACGAGATAGGTCAAAATGGAAAAACAATCTGTATGACTACATGGCTGGGGTATGAACAGTGTTTACATGGTCTGGTAAACACTGATTGATAAATTTATGATTTATTTTTATTGAGAAAACTAGGAGAAACATGAGACAGTGTGTGTTAAATAAAAATTCCAGCTGAAAGAATTGAGAGTGTCTGTCTTTGTGGGTAGTGGCAGTGGTGTTAGGTAAGTTTTTCCTGAATAGCTTTGTAGTATCAGTTGTCCTTCACTGGGAACTGCTTACAGAACCAACAGTACCCACCTCACACTACCAATGTGTCCTCTGCACACACCAAAATACATAGATACTTATGTGTGAAATGGTGTGCCATTTGCATACAGCCAATGTACATACTCTTGATCTCTAGCTTACTTACAATGCTTAATATAGTGTACAGTCATGTGAGTAGTTGTCATGCTGGGGCGGATGCTGTGGCGCAGGGGGTTAAAGCCCTGGCATGAAGCACCAGCATCCCATATGGGTGCTGGTTCTAGTCCCCGCTGCTCTACTTCTGCTCCAGCTCTCTGCTATTGCCTGGGAAAGTACTAGAGGATGGTCCAAGTCTTTGGGCCCCTGCACCCACGTGGGAGACCCAGAAGAAGCTCCTGGCTCCTGGCTTCGGATCGGCACAGCTCCGGTTGTTGCAGCCAATTGGGGAGTGAACCAGCGGATGGAAGATCTCTCTGTCTCTGTCTCTCTCTCTCTCTGCCTCTCTTCTCTCTGTGTAACTCTAGCTTTCAAGATTTATTTAAAGATTTATTTATTTTACTTGAAAGTCAGAATTACATAGAGAGAAGGAGAGGCAGAGAGAGAGAGCGCAAGAAAAAAAGAGAAAGAGAGAGAGGGATCTTCCATCAGCTGGTTCACTCCCCAACTGGCTGCAATGGCCTGAGCTGCACTGATCCGAAGCCTGGAGCTAGGAGTTTCTTCCGGGTCTCCCACAAGGGTGCAGGGGCCCAAAGACTTGGGCTATCTTCTGCTGCTTTCCCAGGCCATAGCAGAGAGCTGGATCAGAAGTAGCACAGCTGGGACTTGAACTGGCGTCCATATGGGATGCCAGCACTACAGATGGCTTTACCTGCTATGCCACAGTGCTGGCCCCATAAATAAAACTTTAAAAAAAAAAAAAAAAAGAAAAAAAGGTAGTAGTTGTCATGGTATATTATTTAGGAAAGAATGAAAAGTAGTCTTTAAATGTTTAGTACAGACACATTCCCCACCCCCCCAGAATATTTTCTATCCGTGGTGGTTAAACTGCAGAGTGGACTCCTTGGATACAGAGTACCAACTGCATTAGACTCTTGAAATAATAAGCTTATGTTATTGATAGAAATTTTTAAAAAATTCCAAAGAGCTCTCTACCTTCACAAGGGATACATTGGTTTAAAAAAATCCATGTTTCAAAATGTCATTTAGGGCCAGCTGAAATATCTTTCTCACAGTTGCGTTCTAAAAAATAAGCTCTTTTTAGGCAGCCCTATGAATGGCTGAAACATACCTGTTTGCTTGTTGGTGTGAGTTTCTCTTCTGGAGACTTTGTACTAAATGTCAATAAACTCTGAAAAGAGAGATCAGTTGATAATGCAAAAGATGAACTGAAGAGTGCAAAAGCTAAATAAGGTGAAACAAAGAGTTAAACAAAATGGGAAAGTGAGTTGCTTGTGTGGATACCTATAGCTGTCCACTGAAAAGTAATAAAAGATCAAAAATTACATAAAAACTATTGTGAGAGTTAAGTGATTATGTTCTGAGATACATTTAAGAACTGGTAATGAAATTAAATTTGGCTGATAGATCAAATTCAAGCCACTATTTTTTTTTAATAGCAAATTGAATGCTAAAAGTTGAAAGAACCCTGCTAATAAAAGAAGTATTTAAAGTACTTTAGTTGTTCTGCATTTTTGCTGTCAGGAAGTTAATACAGGCAACACTTACAGAGCTTCAAAGCTAAAGTGGTTCTAACAAACTCACACTAGTAATACTGCTGTAGTGAGGCCATAAGACTATTTCTGTTGGGAAATAATCCTCTAATAAAACTATTCCACCCAGAAATAAACACTAAAACTACAAGTACTCAGTGATTGTCTCTTGAGAGGGGGCAGTTACCTGTGATTTTGTCAGGAAATAGAACTGGGATCTGTTGAGCCACTGGTAAGCTTCCGAGGTGAACGACTCAGGGATATCTCGTGGAACAAACACCCCCCACTGGACTTCCTCTCTGGAGATATCCTTTTGAATATACAATGGCCTTGGCTCACTAGGTTTAAATACAAACACTAGAGGAAAAAAACAGACAATGAGATGTTGACTGCAAAACTTATTGCAGGACTTACTCCATTTAGCAAATGGCCTACCTCCTGAATGTTTTAGGCTGTACCTCAACAAGTATCTATTTGGTGCCTACTATGTGCCGAAACATTTAGCAATGAGGGCTATGATAATGAAAAAACAGAAAAGGGATCCTGGCTTCAGAGACCAGAATTTACCGCAGTAGACAGACACCAAAATATTGCAGCAGAATCTTAGGTGCTAAAACAGAGAAATGTATGACTATTTACCTAACAAGGTACTGGAGCAAGAAAGGAAGGGCAGTGCCTGAGCACAATGTTTTCAAAAGGATGTCTGGTTTGAAGGCAAGTTGGACTGAAATTGTATTAAAGGCATCAGACTGAAAAAATTAGGCAATAAATCTTTACTATCAAAGCATGGTTTGTACTTACAATCTGAACCCACTGAAGACTGAGAGACTGCAGCAATATTCTCTGACTCAGGATCAGGTTCCATAATGCTAACATTTAATTTTGCACTCCACTCCACTGGGGGAAAACCAAAAGTGATTCAATTCTAAGAATAAATTGACCAAAAGCTTCATGAAGCTTATTTAACAGTTTTTTTCATCTACTTGAAATGCAGACACACACACACACACACACACACACACAGACACACACAGATACACACACACAGCCTTCCATCTGCTCGTTCACTCTCCAAATGGATACAATAGCCAGCGTTGGGTAAAGTTGAAGCCAGGAGCCTGGAACTCCACCCTGGTCTTCTACATGGCAGGGGTCCAAACACTTGGCCATCATCTGACGTTTCCCTGGATGTAGTAGGAAGTTGGGTCTGAAGTAGAGCAGAGCAGCTAGAGCTGGAAGTGGCACTCCAATATGGGATGAGGGCATCTGAGGTGGCAGCTTAATCCACCCCTTCAAAGATTATTTGTAGTGGCCAATCTTCATATTTTTAGGAAGAATTTTATTTTTCCAAATGACACATATAGACACATTAAAATTATCAGTGCAAGGCTGACAAAGTAGAAATGAAAGAAAAAAAGCAAGAAGCAGAAAAACAAAGTGGAAATTCAGTATTCCTTTCATTCATTATGAAAAAATTATTTCATTGAATCTTATGTCTGATGCTTTTCTGCTGCTTGTAAATGGGGGCAAATCTATTGACCAGAGTCACTATGAAAAATAAAACAAAGTTACAACACACAGTCATCATGAAGCAACCCCCACGCCTTTCAAACACACTCCAATGAGCAAAATGCCACTGGTTTACACTTGTTAGGACCCTTGTGGTAGAATACCTTCAAATGTTAAGCTGCCAGGGACACTGCAGGGTAGGATTCATTACAGAAATGTTCCTCTGACTGTCACAAGGACGGAGGATGGGGAGGGCAGCAGAGTCAGACAAACTGAATGTAGTGCAAAAGCCGAGGATGACGGAAGCTGTTCTACCAGCGATGGGGCTATCTGTAAGGAATCTATTTCAGGTCTAGCACTCTCCAAGTTTTGGAGGTATAATGTGTCCTGTGGAAAATTACACAATCTCCAGATACAGCTATGAAGACAGGATCACCAAGTCCTAAAATGCCAAAGTTGGATGGCAACTTCCCATGTGCATTACCAAGTTACACTTTAAAGTAAAAAAAAAGTCTCACATGCACAACTGAGCAGATTCCAACAGCAAAGAACGCCACTTTCAGTGGTACCGAGAAGGTACTTGGAACATGTCAGTCTCCCAAAGCAAAGGTGCCTAGGACAAAACCACAGAGAAGTTAGTGATGCTCGGTTCCGGCTTGTTTAGGTACAAAGAACTGCAGACTTCCAGACACTGTACCCAGTGCAGATTTTTAGATAGACAAGCGTTGTTTGTTTACAATTATCCTGATGAAAAAGGGGCTAAGGTATACAAAAGGGAAAGCTTATCTATTCTGTTTTTATATTTGGTTTGATGACTAACTCTGTAATATGAAGAAGCAATGTATTCTCTAATACACAGCAATGAATATACAACAGAGAAAAGACATAAAATGTGCAAAGTCACTTAAGAAAAACTATTTTATGCTCTTTGCCTACTAGAAGAAAACTTGCAATTTTACAAAGTAAATTCTGAGTCACATGTAGGGAATTAGAACAATCTCATCAGTCTGCCATTCTGTCCTTTCCCAGTTATCAGAAGTAAAAATGGGAGATACACTGTTATTTTCCCCTGTCCTTCTCACAAACAGTGAGGTTTGAACATAATGTAGTTGTTACAGAAAAACGCAGAAGATAAGTACAGTTTGGATCCATTGAGGCTTATGTACAGCCTCTATTATTACACGCCACACATATAAAGTATTTATTACAAAGGAAAACCTGTCGGCCAAGAATTAATGTTAATCTCAACAATGGAAATGTTGGCAGTTTGTGTCATCATCATTTTTAGTTTCTTGCTCCACTGACCTACAGGCTACCTTTGGAGAAAAGCGTAAACTCTTACCAAAGTTTAAACAGATAAAATTTAAAACATACTACATATTCCCCAATACTTTTACATACCTTATCTTTCCAGCTCGTTGGCAAAACGTACATTTAAGTTCCCATGTTTCTGAATCCCATATTGTGACAATTTCTTCAAAACTAACTGCTAGTAAAGAACCATCTTCACAGAAACAACAGTTAGTTGCCTGATATTTGTGATAACTACCCACAAAGTCACAGGTCCAGCCAACAGCTTTCTCTGCGGAAACAGAAGCCATGTTTAGAAATAGTATCAATGTGGAAACTTGACAGAGATGTATTAAGCAGTAAGGATAAAGAAACAAAGGCACACACACACACAAACAACCCTGCTCTCACAACCGTAAGCTCAAGTGGTATGAAATATGGACTAATTTGAAATTTACGCCCCTTTTCAAAGACTTTGACCTCCCTACAATGGAGCAGTCAAAGAGCTAGCAGCAAAAGTCCTTTCTGTAGTACCCTTACAAGCTAGAATAATCACAAGATTCATCAGGAAGACCATTTAAAAACATTGGGGGAAAAGACATGTAAAATGTTATCTCCCAAATCTACTAATATCAAGCAATATCCTACAGAATTCAACAAGTTAGAAATGTCCTAACAGAATGGATACAAGTTTGAGGTAAGTACATCAATTCTTTGTTTGCTTTTAAAATATACCGCATTTAATTAACTTACTGTATATGTCAGAATCATCTGTTAATATCCATACTTTGAAGTGACCATCCTTACTAGCTGTAACCAAAGTGGGGTTGTCTGACTTCTCTGTATTACAGAAACAGAGAGCTGTGATGTGGTCTTCATGCGGCATATTAATCTTTGTGTTAAGGACAAACCTAGTGGGAAGGAAATCACAAAATTTACTCTTACATCAGAAGAATATGGTAATCTGTTACCTAGAGTTTCTTACACATTGGACATTCTAAAATAATATCTATCAGAATAGGCTATGGTTAGATTATCACTCAGAATGACAAACAACTAAGTACTCTAATATCACAATATGCAGAGTTGTATGACTTGTGTCCTTATGCCACTTACACTGTTCAGAGATCACTATGTATAGTGGTCAGCTAACTGGCATAAAATGAGTATAAGTCAGCAGGCCACAATCCTTGAAGGCTTACAGGAAAACTGTATCCAATATCATTCACTGTCTACTTCTAAAAATGAAAACTGGATGTTCCCATGTGCAAGGAAATGTGGAAAGAAAATGTTTTCAAATTGCCTTGATCATTGTTTACTATCTTCAGTCACCCAACTATCTCTCAAAGCTTGTCTTCCAGCTTACGAGAGGAGTGCTGTGAATGACCTACATTGACATTAGGTCTTAAAAGAACACCAGGGCAGCACGGTCTTTTGATTTTTAAAATGTTCAGGTAACAAGGGGAGTGCCTAAAGACAGCTGCTAAATCTGTCTGGGACTGTTTCCCCAAACGTAAAATGTTGACAACAGGCTTACTTATAGTATTCTTCTGAAAATTACTAACACAAAGGGTATGAGAGCACTAAGCCCAGTTTGTGCCACATAGCAGGGACTTGATAAAGGCTTATTATAACTACTGGTCAAGAAATCAGTGAGCATCTTGTCTAATCACAACACACATACTACCACACTACACTATACCTTCACCTACACTATTGAATCACACTAATGAAGAGCAAGGGAACATCTTGATTCTAATTCTGGATTTGTTTAGAAGAATAAGATACTGTCTTTGGGGTGTCATTTCTGTTTTTTCATTTATGCAATGAGGTGACAACACATCACAACCTACAGGACACTAATGCCTTCTCAGAGCAGAAAGTTTAAGTAACGGCTTTATTAGAATAATTCCCTCTTATCTCTAAGTCTAAAACCTACTAAAGTGAAACACCTTGAAGACTGACAACTGAACCCAGAAACAGAAGTCAAGTATTTTATACTCTGAAATTAAGAAATGACTTTAGGGGCTGACACTGTGGTACAGAGAGTTATGCTGCCACTTGAAGTGCCAGCATCTCACATGGGCACCAGTTAAAGTCCCAGCTACTCTTCTTTTGATCTAGCTCCCTCTAATGGCCCAAGAAAGCAACAGAAGATGGCTGAAGTGCTTGGGCCCCTGTACCCACATGGGAGACCCAGAGAAAGCTCTTGGCTCTGGCCTGGCCCAGCTCCAGCAGTTGCAGCCATTTGGGGAGTGAACCAGCAGATGGAAGACCACCCTCTCTGTAACTCTGACTTTCAAATACATAATCTTAAAAAAGCCACTGTATAGGTAGCATTACCCTTGTGTTTTCTTATTATATGTCCACAGTTTCATTTGTAATTCAAGTTCTGCTTCCTTTTCTTGCCGTTGTTCCACAGTTGCAAGCCAGTTACCAGAGTAGTCAAATGCAGCTTTTGTTAGTTCGATTTGGATCAGACCATAATCATTGATATATTCTTGTTGTATAATATCTAACTGACAGATTAAAAAAATACAAAGTGCTTATTAATGTAAATGCTTAAATGTTAAAACATTCAAGGAATGAATAATTAACTATATCCAAGATAACTTCTAGAATCAACAGTAATAGTGTATTAGATAAAGGGGAAAAGTGAACTGTTACTACGGACATCAAAACTGCCATTAAGAAAGGCAGCGCATTATACAGCATCAATTTGGTGGTTATTATTTTTCAATGACCTCAAATATTAGTGTTGACTAAGACCTATTACACGATACAACAGAACCTTTCACTTATAAGCAGTACTCTTCCCTTGTTTCTAAGGTCAGGCAAGATAGTTTTACGTAACATGGAAGGTTAAATCCTACATCACTAGATAGTGTGGAGAGCAGAAATTACCCTATTGTTTTTAAGAAAGTCAAGAGAGATAAGCAATGTTCTGGGTAGGATTTTTCAAAATCCCATTTCAGGCATTGTGGTGCAGAAAGTTAAGCCCTTCTTGGGATGCCCACATGCCACATCTGAGTGCCTGGGATCAAGTCCTGCCTCCACTTCTGATCCAAGATTCTGCTAATGATATGCCTGGGAGGCAGCAGATGATGTCTCAAGTACTTGGGCCCTGCCACCTACAGGGGAGACTAGGATGGAGTTCTTGGTTACTGGCTGCCACTGGTCATATGAGGAGTGAACTGGCAGGTGGATGATATCTAATAAACTGTTCAGCTGCTATGACAGAAATCTGGCAAATGTACTATGGAGCACAAGAAAAAAATAATGATTCTATTTATCAGGATTATAAGAAACATTCCTCTCTAATCTAAACTGGGAATTCTCCAGTATGTGAATGTGACACTGTTTCACCACAAGAAGATAGATTTATATGTCAATTCATATATTCTCATTTCCTCATCTTTGTGGCTCAAAGGCACAGATGTGTGGTACAGCTAAGTGGAGTGCATTCTGAAACAAGATAAAATAGAAAAAGACAATTAAGTGTAAGAACGTCGATTGACTTATATATCTGCAACTGTGGCCTCTAAATAATTAAACTAAGCATCCACAGATATGATAGATTAAGTCCAAGTAAACACAAGCACAGTTCATTTTAGAAGCCACCAAATGAATTATTTGATTCTAGTTGTAAAGAGTTCTTTTAATTTTAAGGCTAGTTAATAGATAAAAGTCTTACATTGTATAACTGCTTATCACTCTGGAGAGAATAAAACTGCAGGTGGCCAGGTTTTCCATTCAAAACCAAGGCTTTAGTCCTTGGATCAATCATCAAACCAGTAAAGATATTCCTATCTGCAAAAGAAGTGACAAATAATAGTCAAAACCTGAGAAATATTCCTCTTAAAATGTACCAAACTCCAAAAACAATGGGCTCTACAATACCTTTCACGAGGCCTTGAATTACTGCAGATACCTCAAGGTTTCGGTGAATAATCATCATCTCTGTGAGTTAACAACAAAAAAAAGTTTTAAAACAAATAAATCAAAACTTGAAGGTGAAAAAGGCACCTGAGTTTGTATCATTCTGAAATATGCCAGAATTTAAAACCTAGGAAGCTGAAATAACTCAAGAGTTTTACTAAAAAAAAATCAGGAAAATATTTTGTGATTTAGTTGAAAAATTAGTAGTTGGGGTTTTTCTGAAGAGTCTTTAAGTTGTATCAATTGGGCTTAGGAATACATTTTAAGTGTTAATTCAGAAATTACATACAAATGATAGCTTAACTTTGAAACAAGTCATGACATGAATGGATTGTACAGTGATGTTCATTTTGAAAGGAAAGGATGCAATGGGCTCTGGGATTTGCAATGAGGCCTGTCTAGGCTGAATAGTCAAAGGATGAGCAAATCCTGGGGGAAGACCAAGACTGCCTCCATTTCTATCAGAATCCAGAGGACTCCCACACTGAGAAAAGAGCTGTGTCAAAGGTGAATCTTACAGCAACCTTTTGAAAATGCATTATCAAAACATCAAATGTCACTTTAAAATCCTCCCTTTCATTGGAAACATTAAGTGGCACAACAAAAGCAAATACACTTAGTCCCTCCATTTTCATACAAAGAATTCTAAAAATGTTGGATTCTGATGGTATCCAAAAGAACACAGATGTAAGGAAAGAGGAATGAAGAAAAAATGCTCATTAAGTCTTACACAACTCTTTTTTTTTTTTTTTTTTTTGTTTTGACAGGCAGAGTGGACAGTGAGAGAGAGATAGAGAGAAAGGTCTTCCTTTTGCCGTTGGTTCACCCTCCAATGGCCGCCGCGGCTGGTGCGCTGCGGCTGGCGCACCACGCTGATCCGATGGCAGGAGCCAGGTACTTATCCTGGTCTCCCATGGGGTGCAGGGCCCAAGGACTTGGGCCATCCTCCACTGCACTCCCTGGCCACAGCAGAGGGCTGGCCTGGAAGAGGGGCAACCGGGACAGAATCCGGCGCCCCGACCGGGACTAGAACCCGGTGTGCCGGCGCTGCAAGGCGGAGGATTAGCCTAGTGAGCCATGGCGCCGGCCTTACACAACTCTTGATTAACTTCAGATCTATTTCCCACACTTTCCAGATGCCAGGTGATGTATGGCATTACACTACTTTTTACCATCTTCACAATAAAACAATGTAGACTTACTATTATCAGAGTGAGAGGTACAAAACAAATCCCCCGCAGGTGAGACTGAGATGTGCTCAACGGTAGCTCCTAAACGAGGGAGAAACTCTTTATTCTTCTCTGTTGCATCACGCCACTCCACAAGCACAGACTCACGGCCGCCACTCAGCAGACTGGTGCCTTCATGTCCAGCCAAAGGAGTGAAAAAGACAGCATTTTAGGGAAAAAACACAGAATAAGAAAAATAAAATCAACACTTGTGTGCTTCCTATCATATCAGGGAATAAGCTCTTTTAAAACATAAAAACAAGTGTCTTCATACTTTTTAATATGCAAGACAAATGATTTAATGATCGCTGGTTCGAGAATCTTCCCTCCCAGTGCTATCTATTTTGTTCCTAAGCAATTCTTTTTCTTTTTTTTGACAGGCAGAGTGGACAGTGAGAGAGAGAGAGAGAGACAGAGAGAAAGGTCTTCCTTTTGCTGTTGGTTCACCCACCAATGGCTGCCGCGGCCGGCACGCTGCGGCCAGCGCACCGCGCTGATCTGAGGGCAGGAGCCAGGAGCCAGGTGCCTCTCCTGGTCTCCCATGGGGTGCAGGGCCCAAGCACTTGGGTCATCCTCCACTGCACTCCCTGGCCACAGCAGAGAGCTGGCCTGGAAGAGGGGCAACTGGGACAGAATCCGGCGCCCAGACTGGGACTAGAACCTGGTGTGCCGGCGCCGCAAGGCCAAGAATTAGCCTAGTGAGCCGCGGCGCCGGCCCCTAAGCAATTCTTTTGCCAACAACTAGAAAAGTCAGTTTGGACAAAACAAACATCTTACTCCAGATAGTTTTAAAGATACATTTTTCCAAAAAAATTATAAGGAAGAAATAAACCATCTTACATGCATTCAAAAAAGAAATACTTTCCAATGTCATCCATAATACCATAACACAATCAGATTTTCCTAAAAAACAATTTATTAACCAATTTCACAATAGATGAAAATTCCCAAGCAACATATTGGCAAACTGAATTCATTAGTATATTAAAAAGGATAGATGTCACTATAGAGTTTGTTATAAGAATGAGAGATTTAAAATCTATTTATTTAAAGTAAATAAATATAATTAACTCCATTTACAGAATAAAGAGAAAAATCACATTTATCTGAATAGGTGCAGAATAGGTAAACAGCAGAATTCTACACCCACTTCTGGTCAAACATTTCAGCAACCCAAGATTCGACAGAACATTTCTAATCTCATTAAGGATATCCCGAGAATTCCTCATGTGTAAAGGTCAGACCTGAAGGTCTCAGAGCTTAAGCTACAGCCATTAAAGAAAACTTCAACTGCTTCCTACTATAGAGAAGGTGGACACGATGGATAAGCGCAACAAAACAGAAGTCAGTGATGATAAGTATCAATCAGTCTTTGCCCTTATTTGGGGAGGGACCAGAGTTGAGAAAAAGAACTTGATAGAGAAAGGCAGAAGAAATGCGCTTAGGATAGGAGATAATCAAGATGCTGTCTGGAACTTACACATTCATGTGTACAGGTGCAGACCACACAAACACTCATTAATATTTTAAGAAGGCTGAGTGGGGTGGGTGGAGAATATAAGCTAGTTTACATTTTTACCAGTAGGGTTAATTCCTATTCATTCCTTTCCTAACCTCAATACACATCACAACTGTGCTTCTGTTGTATGACTCTGTGTTAGGTTGGGTCCCACCCTAATACACTAGTCATTGTTCCCTAAACCCAAGACACGCAAGCTGAAGATGCCTCCTATTTCCTGCGGCTCCAGTGAATGAAAGCCAAGTCACCTTCTTAGGGTCCGGAGCACATGCTGCCATCTAAGACTTGTCCTATTGGTCTCCAGGAAGACCATAAATAGAAAAATCACTTTTCCTGCCTTCTCATTTTTCAGGCACATAATCTTCTCTAGCATCTATCAACATTTTTACAAGACCAACAACAATGTACCCAATACACTGACACAGTTTGCACAAGCATCTGAGGGTGCTAAAAGTGACCACCAACAAAATCCACTTCTTTGAATTTCTATTGAAGACCATCTTATTTATTTTCAAAGAGGTGTTTTTATTTCCCATAGACACATTCTCATGCAACTTAAATGGATCAAAGGTCTGACTTAATTTAAAATCATGAACGTCCAATGAGGTGATATGAAAGTTAAAAACATGAGCTCTTAAGTCAGACCTAGTTCCAAATCCACTTACCAGCCATTGACCTCAGGCAAGTTAGCTATCAACTCTAAAGCTAACCCCTTAAACTGTAAAATAAGAATGATATGCATCTTAAAACGTCAAGACTTATGCTGGATAAGGCACTAGCATAGTTAATTAGCACCTGATACACTGTGTCTACAATTATGAAACAGGACTTAGCGATGTAGGCATAATTTTCAAAAAGTAAGATAATTTAAATAGGTTATGTTAGTAATACAGATGTCATCACAAATGTACATTTTGGAACTCTGAAAAGCTTTGAAACCTAAAATGTACAGTACTGGGCTGAGCACAGCCCAGAATATTGGGATGACATATGAATGTTTACAATTCATTTGGCCCACATAATTTTAAACTTTTCAAACTATAAATTCAGTAGGTTAAAAACACTTCAAAAGTTCATTTCAGTTATTAAGATTCCACTTACCCATCACTGAAAAAGCCAAATCCATAACGATATCATGGTGCCAATGTAAACATGTGTATGTGTATTTCTTATCATCATTAAAATTCCTCCTATTGGAGAAAAACAAAATTAATTGGACCATTAGAAAAATAATACAGCAAATACAATAACTGTAATATATGCTAATCAAAATAAATCTTAATATCAAGCTTACTAGTCTCTCTTTTTTTTTGGACAGATCAAGTTAGACAGAGAGAGAGACAGAGAGGAAGGTCTTCCATCCGATGGTTCATCCCCCAAATGGCCACTATGGCCGGAACTATGCCAATCTGAGGCCAGGAGCTAGGTGCTTCCTCCCGGTCTCCCAAGCGGGTGCAGGGCCCAAGGACTTGGGCCATCCACCACTGCCTTCCTGGGCCACAGTAGATAGCTGGACTGGAAGAGGAGCAACTGGGACTAGAACCCGGTGCCACATGGGATGCCGGCACCGGAGGCGGAGTATTAACCTAGTGAGCCACAGCGCCAGCCAAGCTTACTAGTCTTAATGTGAAAAATGAACATCACCTATTTCTTTTCTTTTTTTTTTTTTTTGACATGCAGAGTGGATAGTGAGAAAGACAGAGAGAAAGGTCTTCCTTTTTGCCATTGGTTCACCCTCCAATGGCCGCCGCGGCCGGCACACCGCGCTGATCTGATGGCAGGAGCCAGGTTCTTATCCTGGTCTCCCATGGGGTGCAGGGCCCAAGGACTTGGGCCATCCTCCACTGCACTCCCTGGCCACAGCAGAGAGCTGGCCTGGAAGAGGGGCAACCGGGAATCACCTATTTCTAAGAAGAGTCATTTCTACAAACAGTATGCCACTTAGACTGCCCTACCACAGAGTCACTTTCGTCACTCTTACTTTCTTGGTTAAGGGCTGACAAAAAACATGAATGGGATTTTTCACTCCTCTTCAAAGCCCAGGGTTAGAAATCCTAAGATAGGAAGTATCAAATGGAGAGCACAATAATGAAAGAATGGGAGGATGACAGCAAAGCCAAGTTACAACAGTGGCTTTCAGTGCATTTTTCCTAGATCCGGGGAGAGCCTCTCTGCAAGACTAACATGAAACAGTTATGTCAACGATCACCATGCTCCTCTTGAGTTCACTAACCAAAGACGGATTTTGCCATCTAGGTGCCCGGATGCTATGCAGTCTTCTGTTGGGTGACACGCTACACATGTAAAATTGTTCTTAGCGTTCTTCTTATTTCTTGATGAGGATAATGTAAACCTAGGAGAAACAAAAATTCATTTGATTACTAAAGTCTCTTAGTAAGTGGTGATGTATTTAAGAAAAAGGAAGGTCTTGGGTGGGAGGGAGGTTATGGAGGGGAAAAGCCATTATAATCCAAAAGTTGTACTTTGGAAATTTATATTTATTAAATAAAAGTTAAAAAAAAAAGAAAAAGGGAGGTCTCAGACATAGCAACCAGAATTGGAAAGTTCTCAGAAGTCAGTGAATATAAATGCAGGAATTTTATTTTTGAAAAAGTTTTGATATCAAGAATCAAGGATTCATTTTGCAAGCATATATTAATATATAATAATATAAACTTCACAAGACTAATATTCTACCATAACAATATCATCTATGAAAGTCATTAACATTTAAGTAAAGAAAAATCCTTCTTCAGTGGCTTTTTTCTTTTTTTTAAAGATTTATTTATTTGAAAGGAAGAGTCACAGAGAGGCAGAGGCAGAGAGAGAAGGGTCTTCCATCTGCTGGTTCACTCCCCAGATGGCTGGCAATGGTCGGTGCTGCGCCGATCTGAAGCCAGGAGCCAGGAGCTTCCTCCAGGTCTTCCACGTGGGTGCAGGGGCCCAAAAACTTGGGCTATCTTCTCCTGCTTTCCTAGGCCATAGCAGAGAGCTGGGTCGGAAGTGGAGCAGCTGGAACTTGAACTGGCTCCCATATGGGATGCCGGCACTGCAGGTGGCAGCTTTACCTGCTATGCCATAGCACCGGCCCTGGGGGCCTTTTTTTGACTTGGGAAAAGCTTATTCAAATTTCTAACTAAAACATAGGTATGGACAAGCCAAAAAAAAGTATATTTCAGGCTAACGTGTCTAAGGAGATAAATCCAAAGGGACAAACCCATTTGTTATAATAGTTGGGCTATTTCCTATCCATATTAAAAAGAGCAGAGAAGCCTACGTGAAGGGTGGGTATTTCGTGCAGAGGTTAAGCTGCCACTTAGCAGGCCTGCCTCTTATGTTGGAGTGAGAGGGTTAGAGTTTCAGCTCCACTCCAGATTCCAGCTTTTTGCTCATGCATACCTGCCGATGAGGTAGGCTGATTGCTCAAGTACTTGGTCCCTGCCACCTACATGGGAGACCTGGATTGACTTTCAGGCTCTAGGGATAGTCTTTGCAGGCAACTGGGGAGTGAATCAATGAATCAGAGATTTCCCTCTGTTAGTTTGTATTTCTCTGCTTTCACAGAAATTATTTTAAAATAATTTAAATATTTAAAAATATTTTAAAATAATTAAAAGACAAACAAAAACAAATATTCATTTTGGGAATTTAAAAGGGAAGAAGAAATAGTGTCACAATGTTTAGCACTAGTCTCTCTGAAAATGCCATTTTGTACATCCTCACAATGCTATTGGGTAAGTATCTGCATTTTAAGTCTATGTAAATTTGAGGTGTGTCAGCGTTCAAATGGATTAAATTTGACTAATTTTCAAGTTAGTAACCAAGAGTCTAGATTTTTTTCCTATAGTGGTAAAATGGCTATGAGGGTTACCTGGTGAAGAATTTTCAAGTTACCTTCAAATGTGACACCAAGTATGCAGACCAGAAGTCAGATGTATAGAGGCCTTTGGCTGGAAAACGTTCCCTAGGATTTTGTGAGTAACATTCTGCTCAACTCCACCCACTGTGGTCAACTCTCTCTCTCTACCCTGTGGTTTCACAAAGTCTCATGAGAAGAAAGCAGAAACAGTTCTGGATCGCATATAGGAGGATGAAATGAAATTTATCAAACTTTTCGATAAATAAAATAAGGCTGACAAAAAGGAACTCTTACCTTGATGTTGTTTTCTTTTTGAAAAAATAAACAGACAAGTAAAAGTCCCGTACTGCAGCAACATACTCTCCCTGTTATTTCAAAGAGAAAACAATTACTGAAACAGTCAACACTCTTTAAGAAATAGTCCCACCATGAAAGCTGACACCACAATAATCGTGTTTGGGAGACTGTGTATATTAATATAATAAAAAGACATACTTGGACTATTGAAAGTATAATCTTTAAGAGCAAGATCTGAAAACTGCTCTTCGGACACATCATTTTGTGGTCCTATTTTCATTTCTTCACCAAGGAGTAGAACTTTACCCCACATCTTGCCATTATTAGCTGTTCTGGTCGACATGAATTGGTATCTCCCTGTGGTTCTAATTGGTGTTTTTTTTTCTTTTCTCTTTTTAGGCAGAGTGGACAGTGAGAGGGAGACAGAGAGAAAGGTCTTCCTTTGCCGTTGGTTCACCCTCCAATGGCCGCCGCGGTGCCCGGCACGCCGCGGCCGGCACGTTGTGGCCGGCGCACCATGCTGATCCGACGGCAGGAGCCAGGTACTTATCCTGGTCTCTCATGGGGTGCAGGGCACAAGTACTTGGGCCATCCTCCACTGCACTCCCAGGCCACAGCAGAGAGCTGGCCTGGAAGAGGGGCAACTGGGACAGAATCCGGCGCCCCGACCGGGACTAGAACCCGGTGTGCCGGCACTGCAAGGCGGAGGATTAGCCTAGTGAGCCGTGGCGCTGGCCCTAATTGGTGTTTAACTGACGATTAATGATACCGAAGAATGATGATATTAATAATGTTAAAAAAGTTTTCTCTACTCCGAGAAATAAATCCTTTTCAAAAGAAAGCTAAAAAAAATGCTGCAAAATTTCTGGCTGAAGAAACATGTCAGTATAGTGACACCCAGTGGCTTCGGATGGTACATGACTTTAAAATAATAATTACTCATAGGGGGAAGTTAAATAAAGTTATTTCATACGTGTTAAATGGAATGTCTAGAAAGGGAATTCTCAAACATAATTCCTGGTAAGATTGCAGATTTTATTTTTTTTACTATATTTCTGTGTAATGTCTACAGATTCATAAAGGGGCATATTCATGGGTAGGGAAGACATAAAATGAAAACAATTAGTATGGCTGTTGCATGGGACAGGCAAAAAGATATACAAATACCAAAATACAGAATATTTTCAGGGTAATTAGAGGGATTACAAGGACAATAGAATAGAATATATAATGTAAGAATGGTCCTACAAAATCTATACCACAAATGCATGCTAAAGCTTAGTTACTAACAAAAATATAGCAATTTATGGCAAAATAAAATCACCATTATATGAAATGACCTGAAAAGGGATTTTATGTGCAAAACAGAAAACCAACAAAGCCAAATATACCTCATTTCCAAAGGCAACACACTTGGGTGACTGGTTTATATAATCCAAAACAAAGGAAAGCTCGGTGGCCTCTACTTCTTGGCTCGATGATTTTGGCAATTTCACTGAAACCAGCTGAAAGACATCTAGCAAAAGGCAACTATACTGATATAGAGCTTCTTTAAAGACAACAAACACATGCATGCATCTGTTCACAAGGGACTGTTAAGCTGTCACCTAGAATTCATTTGATGCCAAGATTATGCTAGCCTATCTTGAACTCTGCCTGAACATGTAAATTTTCAACAAGTCTAACTCCACAGCTCATATACATTCATGCCCCACATATGCAGAAATAGAAAACAATTTGCATCTGATGGGTGTGTTCTACAATCCAAATTTCTAAGTTGAGCTTTAAAATGGAGACAGAATATGAATACAGGTTACCTGAGCAGCCAAACAAAAGCAACAAGCCATCTGCGAGAGCTTTCAGAAATGCTGTAGGCTTGCCACAGCATTCTTAGAATAAATCTCTGTTTCTGTAATATGAACATGCATTTTCCTTCATATTCCTTTGAAGACGTTTCCCCATAAGACTTTGAGTTCAGAATAAAAGCAAAACCCCTCCCACAGTTTACAAGGCAATACATAATCACATCAGGAACATTCTAAAGACTATGCCAACAGATCTACGTAGGTTACTCGTCTTTTTTCAGGGAACTTCCCTGACCACTGAGAATGTATTCCTCTAATACTGCCTATTCCCAACTCCTGCTTGATTAGAACACCTTCTGCCTTACTGGGTCATATAATTGGTATAGTTAGCTTATGCTTGGGACTTGTCTGATTTGTTCTATGCAACCAAAATATTATCTGGCACATGGTTGTCAATTAATTACCTTTTGAATGACTATAATACATATAGCCAAGAATTGAAACTGGGGAAGATAAGATGTAAATAAAAGATTATGTTGTTTGCAAACCAGAGCAGAATGTATGAGAGCCCAGTGGTGGAGTAAGCCAGCCAGCTAGCGCAGGACATATTTTCAAGACTGATAAGTTTTTTTTTAAAGATTTATTTATTTATTCGAAATTCAGAGTTACAAAGAGAGGAGAGGCAGAGAGAGAGAGAAAGGGGTCTTCCATCCAATGGTTCACTCCCCAATTGGCTGCAATGGCCAGAGCTGTGCCGATCTGGAGTCAGGAGCCAGAAGCGTCCTCTGGGTCTCCCACGTGGGTGCAGGGGCCCAAGGACTTGGACCATCTTCTACTGCTTTCCTAGGCCATAGCAGAGAGCTGGATTGGAAGTGGAGCAGCTGGGTTCTCTAACCGGCACCCATATAGGATGCTGGCGCTTCAGGCCAGGGTGTTAACCCGCTGCACTACAACACCCACCCCTATATGTTTTTATGTAATGCAACGTACTTCAAGAAGTTTATGTCATAATGGAATTAAAAGATGTTTATTATGGCAATTTGATGGTAAGGATGGAACGTGCTACTCTGAGAATCACCTATTGCTGGGGTTGCACAGTCAGAGAGACCCCAAGTGTATGTTGCATATTACAATACACATTTTCCATGAACAACCTCAAGTACTATCCTATATATTCAGATCTGTATATGCTGAGTGCCCCATTATGGGCCAAGTACTGGAGAATAACACTAGATCCTATTGAATAGAATTCAGGTTATAGCATTTGAAGTTTCTAAGGTTAACTCCAAAAGGCTAATGGCCCAAGGTCTTTATTTTAGATCAGTAGTTCTCCACCCTGCTTTGCACATTAGTCTCAACTGAGGAATTTTTAAGTAAACAATGAAGATCCACCAGAGAAAATCTTAGTTAAGTTCCTCAGGTGATTCCCATACAGAGCCAATGTTTAGAATCAAGGATTGCAGGGATAGATACAAAGGTTTGCTATAGCTATCAATAAGTACCTTTCCCATGGAGGAACCACAGGCAAGGAGAGGAGGTGATTCCTAAATGTGGGTGATGAGTAATATCACATGGGGAAATATTAAAAATGCATATTCCTAAATTACACACCAGACCTAGTGAATCAGCTGACTGCCAAGAAATTAGAAATCTGGATTTACGGCCAGTGCTGTGGCTCAAAAGGCTAATCCTCCGCCTGCGGTGCCTGCACACTGGGTTCTAGTTCTGGTCAGGGCGCCGGGTTCTGTCCCAGTTGCCCCTCTTCCAGGCCAGCTCTCTGCTGTGGCCCGGGAGTGCAGTGGAGGATGGCCCAGGTCCTTGGGCCCTGCACCCCATGGGAGACCAGGAGAAGCACCTGGCTCCTGCCTTTGGATTGGTGCAATGTGCCGGCCGCGGCGGCCATTGGAGGGTGAACCAACGGCAAAAAGGAAGACCTTTCTCTCTGTCTCTCTCACTATCCACTCTGCCTGTCAAAAAAAAAAAAAAAAAAAAAAAAAAAAAGAAAAAGAAAAAAAGAAATCTGGATTTATTATAAGCATGTGGATTGACATTAAGAATTAATACATTTATATACAACATAGAATTTAAAAGTGTACTATTTTTAAGTAGTCATCTGGGAAGGTGGCATGAGTGTTTACATTTCCAGAAAAATTTTGGAATATCCTTAAGGGGTAGCTTCGAACCACACAAAAAAACTTAAATTACTGCTTTTTATTCTTCCATGATTCAATCTCCCTCCCCTGCAAATTTATTATTTCTCACTTTTACTTAGAAAGCACAAAGATATCTTTCATTTCCTAGTACAATTATCAAATGTCTGCAACACTGGGGGCCAGGCTAGTGCACTGCCCAGTAACCATTTTTAGGTTACTTTGTACTTTTAATTGTGAATATAACGATATTTTTTGAGGATACCACAGGCATAGTGGATTCTGGGGTTTGAAAATTTCATTTTTTTTAAGATTTTATTTATTTATTTGAGAGGTAGAGTTACAGACAGTGAGAGGGAGAGATAGGTCTTTCTTCCGCTGGTTTACTCCCCAAATGGCTGCAACAGCCGGAGCTGTGCCGATCTGAAGCCAGGAGCCAGAAGCTTCTTCCTGGTCTCCCAAGGACTTGGACCATCTTCTACTGCTTTCCCAGGCCACAACAGAGAGCTGGATTGGAAGAGGGGCAGCCGGGACTAGAACTGGTGCCCATATGGGATGTCGACACAGCAGGTGGAGGATTAACCTGCAGCCACGACACCGGCCCCTGAAAATTTCTTTAGCTATATCCTTCATGTCAGTATTCTACAGTGTTACATTCTCTGGTGAAGCATAATTATTTGTAATTATTGACAATATTCCAGGAATCCTAAATGCTCTGGCACGTGGCAATTTGATATAATTAAAGGTAATTTAGCCACATTTGGGATTTTTTTTTTTAAGATTCATTCACAAGGCTGGCGCCGTGGTGCAGCGGATTAAAGCCCTGGCCTAAAGCACAGGCATCCCATGTGGGCGCTGGTTCTAGTCCGGGCTGCTCCACTTCTGATCCAGCTCTCTGCTGTGGCCTGGGAAAGCAGTGGAGGATTGCCCAAGTCTGGGCCCCTGGCTTTGGATCGGCTCAGCTATGGCTGTTGCGGCCATCTGGGGAGTGAACCAGCGGATGGAAGACCTCTTTCTCTGTCTCTACCTCTCTCTGTAACTCTTTCAAATAAATAAACAAATAAATAAATAAAGATTCATTTATTTGAAAGTCAGAGTTACACAAGAGAGGAGAGGCAGAGAGAGAGAGGTCTTCCATCCGCTGGTTCATTCCTCAATTGGCTGCAATAGCCAGAGCCATGCCGATCCGAAGCCAGGAGCCTCTTCTGTGCCTCCCATGCAGGTGCAGGGGTCCAAGGACTTAGGCCATCCTCCAGTTTTCCCAGGCCACAGCAGAGAGCTGGATAGGAAGTGGGGCAGCCAGGTCTCAAATTGGCACCCATATGGGATGCCAGCACTGCAGGCAGCGGCTTTACCTGCTATACCATAGCGCCAGCCCCTAGGGTTCTTAATATCAACCTATTTTCTATACTATTTCCTAGAATGATTAAAGACCACCAAATGGGTATTCAATGATGGGTAAAATGATAGTGATGCTTAAGAATGACAGATTTATGTTTAGTAGGAAGACAAATTCTAATCTACCTTTGTGAAGTTTTAACGTTTGAGCTCTGCAGTGTATTTTTACAAACTTATAATCAGCGGTAGGTCTTCAGAGTAGTGGTTAAGATGCTGGTTGGGACACCTGTATTGCATAGTACAGTGCTTGGATTTGAGTTCCAGTTTCACGTCCAATTCCAATTCTAGCTTCCTGTGCACCCTGGAAGGCAGCAGGTAATGCTCAAGTTTGTGGCAGAGTTGAATTATTTGGGGCTCTTGGCTTCAGTGTGCCATTGCCCTTGGATACTGGAGCCATTTGGGAAATGAACTACTGGCTGAAAGATTTCTCTGCTTATCAGTTTCTTTCCTTTAAAAAAAAAATTCATCCTGGGGTAGGCATTGGGTATAGCATTCAAGGTGTTGTTTAGGATGCCAACATCCCACATTGGCATGCCTGGGTATAAACTGTGGTTCCACACCTGATTCCAGCTTCCTCCTAATGTACACCTGGGGAGGCAGCAAATGATGGCTCATGAGGTTAGGTCATTGACACCCTCATGGATGATCTGGAGTTCTGGGTTCCTCTCTTTGGTCTGGCCCAGCCTTAACTGCTGGAGGTGTCTGGGGAGTGAACCAGCAGATGCAATCTCTGTCTCTGTCCTCTGCCTTTCAAGTAAATTAAACAAAACAAAACAAAACAAAACACCACAAAAAAATACCACGACTGCATATTTCAGGCTACAAAGTCTCCCCAAATGAATGTATGGCTAACAACAGCAATTCAAACAGCAACTCCAAAAACCATTCGCTTCCTATCAAAACCAAAATGTTAAAGTATGAGAAAATGCAAAATGCCAAGTCACTCAATGTCATATAAAAACAAATTAAGTTACTTTTACTATACCTGGTTCTTCTTTACTGATTGTAACAAAGACAGAATCCTCAGCACGGGCAAGAGTAAAGAGAGCATAAAGTTTATGTCCAACAATGAAAGTCTGAAAGAGAAAAAGCACCACACTGTTTATTGTGTTTCCTCCCAAGAGAACAAAAGCTGTAAAAGGGCAGGGATTTTTATCCGTTTTGCTCACTACTGTATTCCCAAAAAAGACTACTTGACCTATGGTCAATACATACTGGTTGAATAACTTTTCAAGTTTGGAATGTTCAATTTACTTGATTCTTTTTAATGGTTGCACAGAACTCTACTGAATGAGTGCATTATAATCTTAACTAACATCAGGATTATACTTAATGCTGTCCCTTCCCATAAACTGTTACATATGTACTTTGTTATGTCAATGTGACTCCTAAAGGTGAGAGTGCTAGGGTAAAAGGTATGTATTTTCATTGATTGTGTACAGAAACTATATATTTCTTTACACTTTACCTATCACTAGAGGTTTTTTTTTTTTAAATCTGTTTTAATTTGGCCTACAGGAGACAATGCCATGTCTTTTGCTTTAACTGATGTTCTTAATTAATGAGGTTATGCATTCTCTTCATGTTTACAGGCTACGTGTATTTCTTTTTCTGTGAATTTATATAGTTCTACCCTATCTCATTCTGCCTTCCTCCCGACCTGTCCCCAGGCTTTTAGCTTTTTCTTATTGGCTTTTGAGAATATTTTTCTATATTAGGGGATATCTTTTATAAATATCTTCTCCTAGTAAAATCTTGTTAGAAGCTTAAAATTTTTATAGAGCTAAAACCATCTTTGCTTTTTGTTTTTAAATGGAGGTATGAATTTCACACATAGGCCTTACAGAGGAAAACAATATGTGTATTACTATATTATGGTGCCGTTCCTTTTCACCTTAAGGAAAACTGAAGATCAATCCACATACCTTTATTAAAATGCCATCTATGTAGTCCCACAGTTTAATTGTGCCATCAAAAGAACAAGAATACAGCTAAATGGGTAAAAACAATATGGAATTAAAAAACAGAAATATATTGATTTCAAATGAACAATTAAGTGTTTTCAGAAAAGGCATTTTCTGTTCATGTACTCATTGTTAGTCTTTAAAAGGTGGAATCATTTATTTATATTACTTTTGCAAAACAATCTTATAGCCCTCTGATGAAACAGAGCCTCAATTCTAAGTTTTAACCAAAACTGAGGGGAAAAGTGTCACCTTTTTATCTTAAAGGGGGAGATGGTAAAGCACTGATTTATGAAAAGCACTTAGGAGCATGCAAATGCCTTTTGTCTGATATATATATATATATATATATTTTTTTTTTTACAGGCAGAGTTAGACAGTGAGAGAGACAGAGACAAAGGTCTTCCTTCTGTTGGTTCACTCCCCAAATGGCCACTATGGCTGGCGTTGCACCGATCCGAAGCCAGGAGCCAGGTGCTTCCTCCTGGTCTCCCATGGGGGTGCAGGGCCCAAGCACCTGGGCCATCCTCCACTGCACTCCCGGGCCACAGCAGAGAGCTGAACTGAAAGAGGAGCAACCGGGACAGAACCGGCGCCCAGACTGGGACTAGAACCTGGTGTGCCGGAGCCTCTGGCAGAGGATTAGCCTAGTGAGCCACGGTGCTGGCCCTGATATCTTCTAAAATGTGTTCTAGAAACCAAAGGGTTAAGGGTCAAGTAAGTTTGAGAAACCACAAACAGCACATAGCACTTTTGGATATTCATAGTGCATATAACAGGACCCAAGAAACCTACAATTAAGAAATCCATTTAACTGTGCCCAACTTTAAAACTGATATACTCCTAGAGCCTAAAACATCCTTTTCAAGTAACACCTATTGTCGCTCCCCCTCTTCGTGGAGGAACGACACAGGACCCTGCGCTGTTCTTTCGTCTGCTCGGCCCTCCCCGGGTTTGCTGCTGGTTCTTCCCGGGTTGGCTACTATCCCTTCCACCTCCGTGGAAGGGCAGTTCCCCCTGGCCACATTCCCCACTTCCGCAGGGGAGCGGCACACCGCCGGCCGGCTCTTCTCGGGGGCTGCACAGGTGTTCCTTCAGCTAGATGTTCCCCTTAGATGTTCCCCATAGATGTTCCCGGTGCATGCCGTCTCTCTCCTCCTTTATAGTCCTCCTCCGCCAATCCCAACTCGGCTGCCCACACGCCGAGTACGCTGCTCTCCTCCAATCAGGAGCAAGTCCTACAGTTTATTAGCTGAACTGGAGGCAGCTGTGCGGAAGCCTGTTACTCTCTCCCCAGCGCCATATTGTGGGAGAGCAGATGCATAGAATAAGTCTTAATTCCAGTAACTCAGTCTAGTCCGGGCCGCTCCCCACAACCTATTAGCATCCTGTAGACCAAATGGTTCACAGAACATACCATGGGCAATGCAGTTCTGGGCTATGATCCTATTTTAGTAACTAAAAATAAATGAAAAATAACCTCAACACAACAATCAGTAGATCTTTCTCTGATCATAACCTAAGAAGTTTCCCAGTCAAATTAAAAGTTTTCTGTCAACACAGCCAGTGTTAACAGATTAATGACAAACTGTCACCTGCAGATGGTTGTTGGGGTTGAGCTGGACTCCAGTAACTAGATTTCTATGGCCATGCAAAATGTGGACACACTCTTCTGTGGCTGTGCTGTAAACTTTAACGAAGTCTCCAGAGACACAGAAGATATACCTGGGGGAAAAAAAAGAAAAACACCATTTATGTGCTCCTTAAGTAGTTTAATCTTTTAATTACCTATGATGAAAATAACATGTGGGGTCAGCCCTATGGCATAGTAGGCAAAGTCCCTGCCTGTGGTACCTGCATCCCAAATGGGCTCCAGTTCGAGTCCTGGCTGCTTCTCTTCCAATCCAACTCTCTGCTGCGGCCTGGGAAAGCCGAAGATGCCCCAAGTGCTTGGGTTCCTGCACTGCATCTGCATGGGAGACCTGGAGAAGCTCCTGGTTCCTGGCTCCAGCTTAGGATAGGCTCAGCTCCAGCTGTTGCAGTCATTTGGGGAGTGAATCATCGGAGGGAAGACCTCTCTCTCTCTCTCTTCCTCTGCCTCTCTGTAATTCTGCCTTTCAAATAAATTTATAAATATTTTAAAAAATGTAACAAAGGCATTTTTCAAAATAGTTATTTTTTGATAAGATTTATTTATTTGAAAGGCAGAGGCAGAAAGAGAGAGAGGTCCTCCATCCGCTGGTTCACTCTCCAAGCGAACACAATGGCTGGAGCTGGGCCGATCCAAAGTCAGGAGCCAGCAGCCTTCTCCAGGTCTCCCATGTGGGTGCAGGGGCTCAAGGACCTGGGCCATCCTCCACTGTCTTTCCAGGCCATAGCAGAGAGCTGGATCGGAAGTGGAGCAGCCGGGACTTGAACTGGTGCCCATATGGGATGCTGGCACTGCAGGTGCCGGCTTTATCCATTAAGCCACAGTGCCAGCCCCTCAAAGTAGTTTTAAGAACTTAATATCCAAATGTGTGTGCTGTTTTTAAGTCTACGGGAATATCTAAGACCTATTTTCATTAATTCAGAGATTAATAAGGCCAATGTAATTTTTGTCTATTCAAAGGTAAGGGCCATTTGGAACAATCCTGCAAAAACAACTGACTTAACCACGCTGCTTGCTCCCTCATTAGTTGCAGACACCGTGCTATTCCACCGTCAATTACTACTGCTCAGTGGTTCTTCTAACAGCAGTTATCATGACGCACTGCGGGGACACCAGCTTACAACAGCTAAGTCAAGGGCTCTGCTCCAGTTAGTGAGGTCCAGGCCTTCCTTACATAGCAAAGTACTAAGACTTGATGTCAAAATTTTTTTCTTGTTGAAAAACTGATTTTGCTTTCACCTCTTTGGATTTGTGGCTTTTCTTCCTAGAGCAGAGGCTAATTTACTAAAAAGCAGTTAAGTTGAGGTCATACTTGACTATTTTCATAACAGATATTATCAGAAAACAAAGCAAGAAACATAAGCCTTCTCACACCTTCCACATAAAAAAGGTTTGCTCTGTGCCTACTCTAACACTCCCCATGCCGATGAAAGCACAAACCACAGCATCCTCAGGTTGGGTCTCCTCGTGCGTCCAAAGCACCCTGTGCATGCCTTTACCTAGTGCTTTCTCACATTGTGTTGAAATTACTTTTGGCAACTATGTCTACCTCTCTTATCTGGCAGTAAGTTCTGAGATGGCAGAGGCAATATTACTCTTTAATTCCCAATGTCCAATCCAGTTTGTGGCACAGAACTTGCCTCATCCTCAAAAGTTTTATAAGGTAATTGCATAAAATGAATCAATTAAAAAAACTAGTCTAAAATATTAAGCAGAAGTCTGAAGTGCCTGGGATCACTACTGTCCTATCTGATCAATTAAAAGATACTTGATTTTTTTTTTTTTTACATGTCCACCTCTTTGCAACAAGGATGCAGTTTAGAGTCAAAGGTATCCTTTAAATATGTAGGAAAGAGAGAAATTATTTTTTTAAGATTTTTTATTTATCTACTTGACAGGTAAAGTTACAGACAGTGAGAGAGAGAGAGAGACAGAGAGAAAGGTCTTCCATCCGATGGTTCACCCCCCAATGGCCGCAACGGCTGGAGCTACACCGATCCAAAGCCAGGAGCCAGGTGCCTCTTCCTGGTCTCCCATGTAGGTGCAGGGCCCAGGCACCTGGGCCATCCTCCACTGCCCTCCTGGGCTACAGCAGAGAGCTGCATTGGAAGAGGAGCAACCGGGAACCCGGTGCCCATATGGGATGCCAGTGCCGCAGGCGGAGGATTAACCAAGTGAGTCATGGCGCTAGCCCTGAGAAATTATCTTAATATGAAGAAAGTATGAGCAATAAAGCTTCTGGAATATACAATAATGTTTCCTCTCCATTCCCATAAGGACCTTAGTTCAGAGGTTTACTATATCCACCCAAGATCGTTCTTTTTATTTATTTACTTATTTGATAAAGATAGACACAGACAAATCTCCCATCCATTAGTTTACTACCCAAATGTCTACAACAGCCAGGCCTGGGTTAGGAACTCAATCCAGGTATCCCTCCCTACCACTTGGGTCACCATTTGATGTCTCCCAGGTATACATTAAGAGGCTGGAATCAGAAGCAGCACAAACTCAGGCACTCTGATAAGAGATGTGGGCATCCCAACTGTTGTCTTCAGTGCTAGGCCAAACATTTGCCACCAGCGTGGATCCTTCAATTCAGTTCTTATACTCCTACTGGACTAATTCTGAAAGTTTGAATGTCTGGCACCATGGCTCACTTGGTTAATCAGCTGCAGCTGTCATCCCATATGGGTGCCGGGTTCTAGTCCCGGTTGCTTCTCTTCCAGTCCAGCTCTTTGCTGTGGCCCGGGAAGGCAGTGGAGGATGGCCCAGGTACTTGGGCCCTGCACCCACATGGGAGACCAGGAGGAGGCACCTGGCTTAGGATTGGCACAGCTCCGGCTGTTGCAGCCATTTGGGGAGTGAACCAACGGAAGGAAGACCTTTCTCTGTCTTTCTCTCTCACTGTAACTCTAACTCTCAAATAAAATAAAAAGAAAAAAAATTCTTCAAGTTTGATCATATCACTTTCTCACATAAGGATAAAATAAAAATACTTCAGTTTTTTTCACACTGTCTTCAGGATATGATCCGAACTTCTAAGGTCTTTGGTCATTTGTCTCGTCTTACTGGAACTACAGTTTTCAGTTGAACACTTAGGCAGTTTACAATTCCAACAATCCCCCACCCTCCACACACCCCAACAGTACCAAGAAGCCCCTTAGGCACGTCTTCTTGAGATGGTAGGGGTAAGTGGCATCCTGTTGGCCAACAAAGCTCCTCTGAATCCATTCAGACACACTTCCCCATACAGCTTCCCTCTCTCCTCACTTCTTGGCTTTCATTACCTGAACGCAAGCCCCCAAAGGCAAATCCCCCTGCTCCTTTTTATTTCTTGGGAGTTAAATTTTTATTTTGAAATAATTTCAGATTTATAGTAGAATACAAAGTTCCTGTATGCCTTCCAATTCGTATCCACTAATGTCAGCACTTTACACAGGCACAACACATTTGTCAAGACTAAGAAATCAACACTGGGACACAACTACCAGCTTTGGATTTCTTGTTTCTCTTTATGTTGCAGAACACAGTCCAGCATACCATGTTAGTTATTCCCTCAGAATCTCTTAGTTTTTCAGGATTCTGACCACTCCTTTAAGATTCAGCTCAGGGTCTTTCTCCTGGAGGTTGTCCCTCACCTCAGTCTGGATCCACACCAGCCTCAATGTGCTTCCACACTCGTGGGCTCAGCTGCAGCACAGCACTGACTACAGGGCACTGTCATCGTCCCTGTCTTGTCCTTCTCCCCTATCACACTCTCAATTCTGGAGGGGAGGAGTTTTGTATTTATTCATTGTAAGCAATAACAGAACTATCGTATGGTAGAAAAGGATGTTTTCCAAATTTGGTTTTTATATGAGGGAGAGAGAGAGAGAGAGAGAGAGAGAGAGGGAGGGAGGGAGGGAGAGAGGGAGGGAGGGGCTGGTTCACTCCTAACGGACTGCGGCAGTCAGGTGTGGGCCAGGCTGAAGCCAGGAACCAGAAGCTCTAGTCTCCCGCATGGGTGGCAGGGACCCAAGCGCTGGGGCCATCTTTGCTGTCTTCGCAGGTGCATTAACAGGAAGACTGGAAGCAGAGCAGCCAGACTTGACCTGGCACTCTGATACAGGACGTCAGCATCACAACCGGCAGCTTATCCCACTGCACCACAATGCTTGACAAACGATGCATTTTTACAAAGCCAAATGCAAATGAGTTCAAATGCCAGTCCTGTCATGTACTGCCTGAATGACACTGGAGAACTTACTTAACCTCTATAAACTCCACTGTTTTTCACCCCAAACTGTATGTAATACTTTAAGAGCTTAAAGAAAACAGTGCATGTAAATGAAGTTTAAGATATATAGTAAGCACTCAATAAATGACAATAGGGGTTGGTGCTGTGATGCAGCAAGCTGAGTTACGGCCTGTAGAGCCAACATCCCATGTGGGTGCTGGTTCAAGTCCTAGAGGCTCCACTTGCAATCCAGCTCACTGCTAATGTGCCTGGGAGGGGAGTGGAGGATGGTCCAAGTTCTTTGACCCCTGCATCTGCCTGGGAGACCCGGAAGAAGCTGCTGGCTCCTGGCTTTGGCCTGGCCCAGCCCTGGTTGTTGCAGCCATTTGGGGAATGACCAGCGGATGGAGGCTCTCTCTCTCTCTTAACTGTCTTAAAAAAAAATAATAATAATACCTAAACCTTGGGGACAGCAAGGCATGTAAAGTACCCACAAGTTCTGCCACTTAGGATTCATCTTTGTTAATAATGGAGAAGAGAAATTACAGATGGCTTCAAGCAGGAACCCATATTAAACTAGACCCTGAAGGATGTATGCTTTAAGTGCTGGGAAGGAAAAAGAATTAATAGTGTAAACTAAAGCAGGGAAATAAAGAACAAAGTACGTACAAGAAAAATGGGATATAGCTATCTGACAAACAAAGTGTGAACAATGAATAATATCAGGAAACACATTTGGAAAAGTAGAGTTGAGTTAGAATAAGGCAGGCGCTGACAGCCAGACAGAAGACCTGTCGTTAAGAAATTAGGCAACAATCACAAAATATATTAGAGGGTTCTGAGCTGGACTAGGGATAAGGGTTAGGGTGGCAAAGTTATGAAAGTACCACTGCTGAGAAATTTCTACACCAATAGCATCTACAATGATCTGCAAGGGAAAATTATTTTAGAGCCAGGGAAATTAGTATTACAGTGATTTCGGAATGTAAAAGCAATGCAAGCTGCAATGTAAAAGACTAAGAATCACCCACTGTTTCAGTTTCCTACAGCTTAGCAACTCTAAAGTTATAAAGCACAGGACCACAAAATTGTGGAGGCAACAGGATGTGATCTAAATTGGACTGGACTGAGAAGGAGTAATGTCTGATCTGGGGACACCAAGAACTTCCAGATGTACCCACCTCCCCATTTGCCTCTTCCAGCAACCCAGGCAGAACTGAATTTTTGTTCTTTTTTTTTTTTTTTTTTGACAGGCAGAGTGGACAGGGAGAGAGAGAGACAGAGAGAAAGGTCTTCCTTTGCCGTTGGTTCACCCTCCAATGGCCGCCACGGCCGGCGCGCTGCGCCGATCGGAAGCCAGGAGCCAGGTGCTTCTCCTGGTCTCCCAGGGGGTGCAGGGCCCAAGCACCTGGGCCATCCTCCACTGCACTCCCTGGCCATAGCAGAGGGCTGGCCTGGAAGAGGGGCAACCGGGACAGAATCCGGCGCCCCGACCGGCACTAGAACCCGGTGTGCCGGCGCCGCAAGCTGGAGGATTAGCCTAGTGAGCCGCGGCGCCGGCCCTGAATTTTTGTTCTAACACAGTTCTAACAAAGAACACGAATGCCACTCTATTCTTAAGTAATCTGGAAACTTTTTCTTACTACAGTGTGACAATTTTACATGATGTTGACAATACAGCAATAATGATCACAGATGAAATACACTAAGTCAGTGAATGCCAGGCACAGATGTGTCTGCCTTATCTGTATGGAGGCATTAATTCTTCCCCAAAGTCCTATGTGATGGACCACTAAACATCACGTCCACTCTACAGATAAGGCAACAGAGGGTGACTTAAGAAACCAGATCTTAGCATGGTTTCATCTCAGTCACGATCTAACGTGTTTTCAAGCACAGCTCCAAAGAAGGTTACCAATACACTTTTTTTTAGCTATGGAGAAAGCAGAATCGTTAAAGCCTTAGTAAATCCAAAACATGATTCCATCTGAAAGAGTAGGGACACTGTGGGTGTACCGCAAAGGCAGCGGCGTTGTCATCGTGCCTGGACCATTTTCCAGGCGCCCCAGCGCCAAGCCGATTCTAGACACGTGGACCCGCCCCCGGGCCAATCTACGGGCTGGTACAGCGTCCCGGAACAGGGACACCCCAGCCAGCATTACTACAGGCAGAAGGGAGTCCTTACTCCTCTTACAGAACACCGGCACCGGCTCTCTGCCGCGCGCCCCGCAGTCTCCCGCACTCGTGCCCCTCCACAGAGTTACGTTCACGCCTGACAGTCCTTCCCCCGCTACCCTCCTGCTCTCAACCCGGCCAACAAGACTAGGTGCCCCCATACTTAGAATCCGCAGAAAACACAGCTCTCCTGAAGTTCAACTCGCTGCCGCCGCAACGAACCACGCGGGGACTCTCCTGCTCCACCATCTTGGCGCAGACGCAGGACCTCCTGGTCCGGCCCGCCCTAGACTTCCTTTACAGAGCTCGGCAGCGGAGCGTGTTTCCAGCGCGCAGAACCCGGCACCGGTTCGTCTAGGCGTGAGACTCTATGGTACGTCGCAGCGCCTCGGCCGCCATCTTTGTTTGGGTAACGTCAAACTGCAAAGTAAAACAGGTTAAAAAAGAAAAAGTGAAATGAAAATACGGACACAGAGACAGGGAATTTATATTACACACAACTACAGAATTTTATAGAACAGAACTCTCTCTGGCCTTGTCAATCGGCCTGGATGGCGGCTTCCGCCAGAAGCAGAAAGTGGCTCAAAACGTATCACGTGACCTCCAGCCATCCCACAGAACCGTGATTCGGGCGCACGCCACATGACGTAAGCAGCTCGAGCCTACCGGCTTCTTGGTAGCGCGACTGAGTTCTTGGGTGGAGAGGTAGCGTTCTCCTTGCTAGGGACCCCGTTTCTGAGGTCGTCGCATGCGCCCCTACAGAAGCTCCGTAGCTCCGAGGGCCTTGCTTTTTCCATTAGAAACCCGGTTACTCCGAGATTCCGGCGCATCTGGCTACTCCGCCCTCAGTGCAGCTGCTCCAGCAATCTGACGTTTTGCTCCACTCTGGCCAAGTTCCTGGAAGGCTGTTTTCTGATTTGCTAAGCCTTGTTTTGGGCGTGTTTCCTTGGTTTCAGCTTCCCCAGTTAGTCAGCCATGCCTTTGGGTAGAAAGCACTGAACTCCAAGGATGCTTATTTTATACGTGTATCTCCAGTTCCTTTCTCTAAAGTTGCGCGAATCATTTCCGGGCTCCCTGTACGTTAAGGGATGCGGCTCTATTCTCAGTCGTTCATTCTGTTAATATTTACCTCCGTGCTGGCTCTGAGTCACTCCTAAGGATAAGTAACCGCCGTTACTTTAACAGCAACAGAGGACCTCTACGTTTCACTACCTTTATTAAAATTTACCAGAAAATTAACAGGTATCACAAATTATATATATATATATATATATATATATATATATAAAATATGTGTATATATATATGTATGTTTCTTTATTGTAGGAAAATAATGCAGTAATTGCAAGGGAAGAGACATATCTTCAGATGTCACCATTACAAAAAAAAAAAAAAACACAAAAACAGGGATAAATTTAGCTTTTGCTAAGTCCAGCTTTTTGAGAAATGCTGAAGGCTTTAGTATTTTGGGAGCCGGAACTATGGGGACACACTGGTTATTTTCATTTACTACACGCTGCAAGAGCTGTCCCTGATGATTGTGATGTGCTGTGCCATAGTGGAAGAAGGATACATTGTTAGTTTTTGAGTCGACAAACTTAACCTTTTTCCTCTCCGGTTTCTGGATGCCTACATAATTACTGTTTTAAACTTTCTTGGATATTTTGAAATCTGACTTACGCTTACTCTCATGACCTGAGCCAAAGAACAGAGCAAAAATTTCAGTCAAATCAGTTTGGACTTCCGTGGTTTTCTGTGTGGTAAATTTTGTTGTTTAAAACAGAATCAAAGCCTTCCTGATACAGACTAAGCTAGCTGGATTGAAACCTAAGGGAGGCTTTTCACACAGAGTGAATCTTTCATTTAGTGTTTTTTTTTTTTTTTTTTTTTTTTTTTTTTTTTTTTTTTTTTGCCAGAGTGTCTTGGCTTTCCATGCCTGAAATACTCTCATGGGCTCTTTAGCCAGACCCAAATGCCTTAAGAGCTGATTCTGAGGCCAGAGTGCTGTTTAGGACATCTGCCATTCTATGAGTCTGCTGTGTATCCTGCTTCCCATGTTGGATCATTCTCTCCCTTTTTAACTCTATCAGTTAGTATTAGCAGACACTAGTCTTGTTTATGTGATCCCTTTGACTCTTAGACCTATCAGTGTGATCAATTGTGAACTGAAATTGATCACTTGGATTAGTGAGGTGGCACTGCTACATGCCACCTTGATAGGATTGAATTGGAATCCCTTGGCATGTTTCTAACTCTACCATTTGGGGCAAGTCCGATTGAGCATGTCCCAAATTGTGCATCTCCTCACTCTCTTATTCCTACTCTTCTATTTAACAGGGATCACTTTTCAGTTAAGTTTAAACACCTAAGAATAATTGTGTGTTAATCACAGAGTTCAACCAATAGTATTAAGTAGAACAACAACAACAAAAATACTAAAAGGGATAATACATTAAGTTGTGCATCAACAGTCAGGACAAGGGCTGATCAAGTCACTGTTTCTCATAGTGTCCATTTCACTTCAACAGGTTTCCTTTTTGGTGCTCGGTTAATTGTCACCGATCAGGGAGAACATATAATATTTGTCCCTTTGGGACTGGCTTATTTCACTCACATGATGTTTTCCAGATTCCTCCATTTTGTTGTAAATGACCAGATTTCATTGTTTTTCTACTGCTATATAGTATTTTATACAGTACATGTCCCGTAACTTCTTTATCCAGTCTACCGTGATGGGCATTTAGGTTGATTCCATGTCTTAGCTATTGTGACTTGAGCTGCAATAAACATTAAGGTGCAGACAGCTTTTTTGTTTGCCAATTTAATTTCCTTGGGGTAAATTCCAAGGAGTGGGATGGCTGGGTTGTATGGTAGGTATATATTCAGGTTTCTGAGAAATCTCCAGACTGACTTCCTTAGTGGCTTTACTAGTTTGCATTCCCACCAACAGTGGATTAGTGTCCCTTTTTCCCCGCATCCTCGCCAGCATCTATTGTTGGTAGATTTCTGTATGTAAGCCATTCTAACTGGGATGAGGTGAAACCTCATTGTGGTTTTGATTTGCATTTCCCTGATTGCTAGTGATCCTGAACTTTTTTTTTTTTCATGTGTCTGTTGGCCATTTGTATTTCTTCTTTTGAAAAATGTCTATTGAGGTCCTTGGCCCACCTCTTAAATGGGTTGTTTTGTTGTTATGGAAGAACTTCTTTTCTATTCCCAGTTTACTGAGTATTTTAGTTGTGAAAAGATGTTGAATTTTGTCAAATGATTTTTCTATTTCAATTGAGATGATAATGTGGGATTTTTCCTTTATTATATTAATGAGGGATATTATTGATTTCCATATATCTACCTGTTTTTGCATTTCTGAAATAAATCAATTAAGTTCTTTAAAAGAAATAGCTTTAACAATTTTTTTTTGGTTCAGAAATTTTAGGTAAACTTTTAAAGAGTATACCTAAGGAATACTCTTTCTGTCTTTGGAGCGGCATGATCAGGCCCTGCTTCTACTGAGGATCTGATTTCATTTGTCTCTCATTTGTGGCTTCTCTGATGCTATTCTTTTTTCATTTTTTACTTTTTAAATGTTTATATCAATGCAGAGCTCTCTAATCTATGAATACATAGATATTCTCATATTTTGGGAGTGTATACTAAAATTCTTTTTTAAACTATTGAGGTGCACACTGAAACAATATTGGAGACTAGTTGCCCAAAAATGAGTGTAGGTATAGAGAAAATTGTTGGCTTCTCTAGTACAGTATTAGTTTCAGACTGCATGCTGTAGAAAATTAGCTTTCCACATATTGTAGGACTTAAAAATACTCCTTTTTATTACATGTATGCTCTGTTTTGATTTCTTACTTTTCAATCAAATTATTGTTTACTAGAGTAATTAATAATTCCTAAGGCCTGATTTAAAGTAGCTCTCCATTATCTACTAATACATGGAGTCTTGGTTCAATTCAATATGTGGGATGATGTGTTGTTTGAAAATGAATCACATGACAGCAGTAGTTAAAGTGATGGATTTCTAATGACTGATTTTTAACGTATTAATAGTTTTTCCATATTTTATAATGAACATGCAACCTTTGGTGCATTAATTTTTATTTGTCAGTCTTAAAATGAAATCTAAGGCAAACTTATGCACCTGCTCTTGTACTTGTTTTGTTGAATTTTAAAAACTTGTTTCTGTTTCAAAAGTGGGTTGTCTAAAAAAATTGTTTGAAAAATGATTCCATTCTTTATATGTTAATGACTTGTGCAATTTAGGGTACTTTTTAAAACAGTAAAATATTACAAATACCAATTTACAGAGCTAGAGTCAAGACTTTGTACATAGGTAATTTGTTTAGGAGATGAATCCCAGAGAGCAGTGGGGAGGGACCAGAAAGATAGAGAATAGAAGAAAAATCAATGTAACCACCATTAATGAGAAAATCCCATGAGCAGGCTCTCTCAGTCCTCCTCAGGACAATAAGAAACTTGAAGATTCCTCTTAGAATTAGCTGAAATATGAAAAAAAGATGAAAAAAAAAAGGATTTTACTTACCAGTTCCATATCCTTGTTGTGGGGTGTTTCAGGGGGCTTAGGTTCTTCAGTGTGATGCTTGATGGGTTCCCATAGCTATTACATTGTTTCTGTAGCCACTGCATCTGACTTGATCTGCAAAAGCAAGAAATCTATGGATCTTATGAACAGGGGCCTAACTTGATCTACCCAATCCACAAACTTGGGTATGGCTCCTCTCTCAATTTTCTTATTTAACAATATTCACTATTTGAATGAGAGAGAGACTGGGTCTTGCTTGGGGCATATTTAATTATACCATCACATGACCTGCTAAAGATCTTCTTCCTACTCGTACGGTGTTGGGTTCCCATTTATGCTGTAGGTAGGGGAAGTATAGACTTTACTGGGAATACTGAAACTGGCTTTGATTTATTGTTATTCTTTAGAGACCCAAAAAGCTATTTTCCACATGGACTTCTGGTCTAATCCCACCTTGTAAGAACCCAATGGGTCCACAAACTTACCCTGTGGTTATTTTCTTAGTTCTTGAACCCATGGTTGGAATATTGTATTCACCAAATAGGAAACCCATATTTTAGGCTCATTTTTCCCATATAGTGATGATTATTCTGAGGAAGACTAAGTGAAAACTTTTAGAGTTTATTTTCTGTTCCAAAATAATAAACCAAAGCAAAACTTAATCTTCAGTGATAGTCACAAATACTGGTTTCACAGTACTATTTCTTATCCTATGTCGTTAACTCATGTAGATGATAAAAGCATTTCAAAGAATGCCAGTGACCATGATGATTTATATGGGAAAACACAAATTTTCAGTAAAATATTGAAGTCTGAATGAATGACAAGACATTTTATGTTCTTGAGTGGAAGATTTTATATCAAAAATATTAATCTCCCACCAAATTAATATATAGATCAAATGCAATTTCTTTTTTTAAATTTTTTATTTTTTATTTTTATTTTTGACAGGCAGAGTGGACAGTGAGAGAGAAAGAGAGACAGAGAGAAAGGTCTTCCTTTTTGCCGTTGGTTCACCCTCCAATGGCCGCATCACGCTGATCCGAAGCCAGGAGCCAGGTGCTTCTCCTGGTCTCCCATGGGGTGCAGGGCCCAAGGACTTGGGCCATCCTCCACTGCACTCCCGGGCCATAGCAGAGAGCTGGCCTGGAAGAGGGGCAACTGGGACAGAATTCAGCGTCCCGACCGGGACTAGAATCCAGTGTGCTGGCGCCGCAAGGCAGGGGATTAGCCTATTGAGCCACGGTGCCGGCCAAATGCAATTTCAATTAGAATTC